CTTTGATAGCCGCAACCCCAGCAGCACGGCTGGAATACCACTGATGCCCCCGGTCCGCAATCAGGGGGGGTGTTCTGCCTGCACATCCTTCGCGCTGGTGAGGCGTTACTTAGCAGGCCGGCACACCCGTCTGGGTGCTTACTTGACATTATTGGGTGGCCGGCACGCGCGCCGCATGACAAGTTCAGGTGCGGATACCTTTGATTTAGGATTGCCAAACAGATGCGCGGCGTGACCGCCCCCACAAAACCGCTCGCAGGCGGCTGCGGGCGAGGCCGCCGTGAGTGCGGCACTGCGGAAACCCGCGACCAATCGACGGTGGAGCGTGCAGGTGCGTGAGGGCGGACCCATACATCCCTTTGGGATTCTCATGCTTGCTTCTTGGAGGAGTGTGGCGCAGGGCAGAGCCAGGCAGCGCTCGTGGAGTCCACCATTCACAAGCTAGCATGTGTGCAGTTTCATGGCACACCACGCCGTGCCAGTGCCAGTGCCAGCGCTGCTTCGGTGATAACGCCAGCGTTTTCGTTGTCACATGCAGGACCTCCATTTCTGTGGGAGCGGCGGTGGCGACAATGAAGATGAGGTTAAGAGCTGCCGGGCTTCTGCCAAGTCAGCGCAGGATGCAGTGAAGGCGTTCATGAGTGTGAGGACGAGCTCTGGCTTGCAAGGACGCTGGCCGGGCAGCGCAACGGAGCAGCGACGGCTCGCGTGCAGGGGCAAGAAGCGCATTTCCTTGTGCTTGCGGCAAGTCAGGTTTACGCAGTGGTCGGTGGTTAGGATGCATGTTGCGCGTGCTTGTAGCTGAAAGCCACAAGTGCCTTGTGTCGTCTGCCAGTCTGTCTGCCTTGCCCCTCACAACTCACACGCCCTGAATCCTTCCTCTGCCATGCATTCATGTCAGGCTATGAAAGGCCAAGGGCGGAGTGTGAAGGGTGTTGTTGTGGAAAAGTGCCTCCCATACGATGCTGAGTCGGCGCCCCAGGACAGCTTGTGCTCCTACAAATGCCAAGATCTGGATCCAGATCTTGCCAAGGGCTCCTTCAAGTGCGGCCCAGCTGCGTGTTGCAAAGCTTGTTCGCATCGCGATTTGATCCAGCCATGGCAGCTCTTGTGATTTTGTACAGAGTATTGCCTAGCCCCTGTGTATTGTTGATGTGCAGGCCACCTGTGTTGGCCGAAGGTGGGCGCCGCCTGCCGACTTACGGCCGTGTTCCCGGCCTGCTTGGGCCCGCTCACTGCTCCCTAAACCTGACCAACCGCTACACCAGGTTCATTCAGCTGTTGACACCGTGGGAGATCCAGAGACACATACAGACCTGGTGGGGCAGCTGCCCGTCCAACCTTGGTTCGGTGATGCATGCGCTGCACACGCCCTGATGTACGCAGGCAGGGTCGCCCCGCCCGCTTTGAGCAGGCAAGCACGCGCTTACATGCCAGGCTGTGAGCCTTCCTACAGCCCCCTTACACTGGTGGGATCCCGGTGTCACCCGCTTCGCAGGGGCGCTGTCATGACGCGCCTGGACGTTTACTCAGACTTCAGGCCCTTCTTCCAAGCCAACCCTTCCGGGGTCTACATGGGGCCTGACAAAACTTCAGCCCTGACGGATCGCCACGCTGTGCTGCTCGTTGGTGCGGCGACCGATGTGTCCAGGGGCACTCATGTTCGGCCATTGCAACATACAGGGCTGCTTGTGGGCGCACCATGCTTGCGTGCCATGCACATGCGCTGTGTGTAGGAATGCCAAGAGAACCTGTTGATCCAGTCCTGATGACCATTCATTCTAGATTTTCTTTCCACCTGCTTTTCCCCCATCATGTGCTTGGTGCAGGGTACGACAATGTGCAAGGTGCGGCTTGCTGCCTCGTGGCTTCACCAGTAATGCTGCTTGTGGCAGCAATTGCCAGCCAGCGGCACTTTGTATCTGGAGTGATCTTCTGTCCCTCGCATTCCAAGCGACTCCCCTGCCACCGCCCAAACCTCTGGCACAGAGCGCTGGTTAATTCGCAATTCTTGGGGTCCAGGTAGGCAGGCTGGTAGGACTGAGCTCATTAACTAATGCACCTCAAATGGCACTGCAGAACGCCCCTCGCTTGCACTGGACGTCCTGGCCCGACGTGCCCTGCCAACCCGTCATGTTGCTCACCCGTCCGGCTACGCAACACCTTTTCTTTTCTAGGCTGGGCCATGGAGGGATACGGCTGGGTGTCTTACAAGGCTACGCTCACCGCCATCGGCGCGCCAGGAGACACGTGAGCGCTCGCCTGATGAAGTTCGCAGAGCCCCCACCCCGACGTGACCGCCTCTGCGTCTTGCCGCTGCCGCATACCACTTGCCGCTTTGGGCTGCCTCAACACAGGTGTTGAGGCCTCGCCTTGCAACGAGGGTTCTGGTGGCTTCCCTGGGTCGTCCTGTTTGTGAGGCGGGGCGCCCCCGGGCTGCCTAGTCACTCAACATGCCTGAATCCCGCAGGTACGGCCTTTATTTTTATCCGGCCAATCCGCCAATGCTGCCCTACACTCTGGCGCCATCGCCCAACAAGAAAGGTATGCCTCCTCATTATGTGCAAGTATTTCAGATCGCAGCGCCGCACTCGGCTGCTGGCGCACTGCGGTGTTCGGCCAAGCATCTGCAGCAACGCGAGCCCGCGGCTTGTTTGATGCGCGACGCACCCACGCAGGCTGCTGGTTGGTGCAGCCGCCGCCCAACACCTGGGTGGCAACTCTGGCGACGACTCTGGAAGTGACGCCGCGTGACATCCTGCTCGAAAGCCTTGCGCAAATCTCAGGTCTGGGCCTGCCTGCGTGCACCGCAATAGATTGCGTATCGGGACGGGCGTAATGTGTTGCCAAGCTGGCTGGCTGGCTTGATGCAGGCAGCCCCGCCGTGCGCCTCGTCTTACTTTCCAGGCGCACACCCCAACTCGCCCTGCCTGCTGCGGTCTAATCCTAGAAACAAAATTGCGCTCTCTATGCTCCTTCTCAACACTCACCCATGCACACACACACACACACACGCACGCGCGCGCTCTCTCCCCAGAGCCAGACCAGCTCCTGGATGGCAAGACTGTTTTGGTCTGCAGCATCAAACAGTCCATCCTGGACCGAACGCAACGATCCGGCCAACTACCAGCGCCGCCCAAGCCGCTTGACCTGCCGCGGCCGGTGCCGCTTGAGAAACCGTCTGTGACCACACTGCCACCCGCGCAAACCGGGCCCCCCTACCTTGGCGCGTGGGCGGGCGTCGTCAGCTGTGATGTGACGGGCTCATTTCTGGGACAGGGCACAAAGCTTAACACTCAAGCTGTGTTCTCCCTTGACAGCGGCACACTGCGCTTGAAAGCGTCAGACTACGAGCCCGACTTCAATTGCAGGTTTGAATGGGCGGCGGAGTGCACGGCGGAGGGCGCGTGCGGCGGCGGGGGCACGACCATTGTGTGCCAAAACGTGAAAGCAGCGGCGTGGGTTGCGCGGTGCGGGGAGGTGCCGTACCCGCAGGTGTCCCGGGCCGTCTTTTGCGCCAAGGCGGGCGTGCTGGGGTTGTCCGAATATTCCCCCACGTGTTCTCCGGCCAGTGGCGAGTACAAACGGCCACTGAGCCGTGGCTAGTTTGCGCAGCTTTTGTAAGGTGTGTGCCCAAAAGCGCCCCTGTGGATTTCAGCTGCTTCATCACGCCTGCCTTCCCGCTGAGACGCTCAGTTTCCTGCCTTCACTGATGAGTCGGCGGATAGGTTGTGGCCCTTTCACGCAGGGTTAATTGTGACAATGGTCATTGCCTCTGTGTACCCACATGTAATGGTTGCGTGCAGGCTTGCCAACTCAACAGTTCCTGCTTTGGTGACCAGTTGTTGCAAATCTTCTTGCTGGTTTTCCGCTCTGCTTCTCGTCAACGCCTCACCCTCTCCGTTTGAGTATCGTTTTCACTCCCAATTTCACACCCACACAAATCCACATCACACGTATCACATCTGTCCACGTCATCATTTGCATGACGCTCGCTGAATTCCACGCCTTTTGAAGTATGGATCTATGAAATTGCCTGTTTGCTTGCTCAATCCACTCGCCCTTGTGTGTAGCAAACAAAATCCTTGCAAATGGTCGCTTGTTGTGCCCAACCGCCCTGGGCATTGCTCATCAAGTCATGAACAGCAGGGTCTGAAGACGGCGTAGAGCTTGCACCAGGCCGCAAGCAGGTGCTGGCGTTTTACTTCAAAACACAAACCTGAAAATCCAGAGCCGTAATGCCTATCTTAATCCACAAAAGTCACGGCAGCTCTGCTTAAAGGCGGCTGTAGCACATGCTGCTGGAGACCACGGGTAGGCGAAGAGCACGCTCAGTCGTGCCGTTTTCATGCATTGCCCGGGGCCGTTGCTGTACATGCTGTGATGAGCTGATTGGAAGTTGACCCCTTTCCCAGCGACACATGGCCTTGCCCGTTGGGCGCTCAGGCACCCTCCTGTCTTGTCAACCTGTGTCTTCAAGTGCTTCCAATCGGTTTGCGCAGCGTGCTTGCAGTTGTTCTTGCTGCCACCTCCATCAAATCAGCATAAAATTGTGCTTGGATGTGTTATTGGGTAGCTTACTTTCCTTCGGGGGCTGCTGGTGTATTGTGGCCCCTGATCAAGTGATTTGATACGCAGATTTAGGGAAACAGTGACGTCCATAGGTCCTCTCCGCATTGGCTGCTGCTTGCCTGTGGTTGCGTGCAAATAAATGTACACAAGGGGTGAAATTACACAAAGCACACTGTCAGCTGCCTGGGGCGGCGCCAGGTGCTTGTCGGTTGAGTGCTGAATGTGCAGACCGCTCATTGCCTCCTGCCGGCCGGCTTGCCTGGAGCGTTTTGGCCAGACTTCGTTGTGCATTTGTGCAGCTGCGAGCCAGTGCTTCCCAACCTGAAATTGCAGCGCTCTGCTGCCCGGCGCCACAACAAGCCGTTCCGGAGCTATATAGTTACAACGAAGAACCACATCCCGCACGCCCCTATGGCTGGCCCGAGCCCCTATGGCTGGCCCTGTGCGGTGGCAGCGGCGCCGCCGGTGTCGCGGCCCTGGGGCAAGGCTGTCGGCGGGTCGCTTGCCTTGGTGTGCGACCGGTCGTCCTCCACTGGCCGGTCGACCCTCATGGCCTCGGCCAGTGACGCGGTGCCGCGATCACCCTGCTGCGCGTCCTGCAGCGCGTGTGGCAGGGGCGGGGGGCGGGCAGGGCGGGTCTGGGAGGCGGGGCGGCGAGTGCCTGTGCTGGCGCACATGGACTTATAGGGGTTGCACGAGTGGACCTGGTTGCGTGGATGCCCTAGGCGTGCCTCACCACTCCTGGTGACAGAACGGGGTGCTCGCCCTTGCTCTCCATGTCGAACTGCTCGCGGTCACGAACCACACCTTTGAATCTGATGTGCCAGTGATGCACGCTGCCTTCCTGATTAAAACGACTGCTGATCGACGGAAATCGAGCTGGTGTATCCGGGCCCTCAACGTGCAAATGATCAGACAGTCGCTGCGGCGAAGGGTCGTGATGACATCATCAACTTCACAACTCCAACTGCAGGCACTTGCGACGCATTCAAGCGTGCCTTCCCATGCCGTATTTTTATATCCCGCTGTCCTGGTATATCTCATTGCTGTGTTCTTTGCTCCCTGCTTGAGCTGCCCAGAACATCGACATGATTGCTGTACAGTGGCGATCGTACGCCTGCCAGCTTGCACACACCAGCCCTCAAAGCGCCCCAGCCCTGCTGCCCATGAATGTGTGTAGCCACGCAAGCCTTATATCACAGCCAACCTTTTTCATGCACGTGCAAAGGCAACACAGCAAGACAAGCACAGGTCCAAGCACCAAGCCAGGATGCGCAACTGGACTGCTTGGAAGCCACTGCAACGCGTGGTGGGGCGGCCAATGCACCATCGGTCGACACTGGAGGGATTTCTGGCAAGTATAGAGGGGACACGGGGCAGGAGAGCGATCCTACCATCTTGGGCCAATATTTTTGAGAAACTTCTACCTGCAGCAGCCGGCCCAGCACGCGCACGTAGGACTCAGGCGTTGTGCTGTGGGTGGCAAAGCAAGAGTTTGCTCAACTCGGCCCGTGCAATGCAGGTGGTTGGGCAAAGAGGCACGTGCGCGCCAGGAATGACACAAATGCGGCACATGCGGCATCTTCAGAAGGTAACCCCCAGCAAGGGAGGCCTACCACTCAAACACACAAAATCCGCCCAGGCTTGCACGTGCCCTATCAGGCCAGCCGCACAGCCGCGCCGTCGGTGCAGTGGGTGCACGCCGCCGCCGCGACACCTACCCGAGCGCACCGTCTCGGCGTCTTCAGTTCCTGCGCCTTGGCTGGAAGAAGGCGTGGGTGGCCTTGAGCTTGGCCGCGCGGCGGGCGTAGGGGCGCTGGGCGGCGGGCGCACGCCTGTATGCGGCGGCCGCAGCGCGGCGCTGCGCCACCATCTCGGGCACGCGGCGCTCCAGGGAGCGCGCGGCAGCCTGCTGCTCCTCGGCCTGCGAGGGTTTTTCAGCGAAGGGCGGGCGGAGCGATACTTTGAAGCATGCGCAAGCTCATTTTGTCAGCTGTTGATTAGGCTTTGCCTGTAGGACGCACCCTCAGAAAGCGGAGGTAGCAAAGCATCCTTCGGGTGAAAACGATGCCCGCCCCTGGCACTGGCGCTTTCTAGCGCTCCACTTCAAATCCACACATGCCCTCTCGCTTGTGCGCGCGCCCCGTCCTGTCACCGCTGGAGCGGACGCGCGGGCTGCGGCAGGGTGCCCCGTCGCACCTGCATCTGCCTCGCGGCGCTGAAGATTTCCTTGTCGTCCCCAGGGCGCACCCCCAGGTGCACGTGGCCGAGGTCATCCATGTACAGGACCTCGCGGCCGGCGTCCTCCTGGGCGGCCGGCTCCGCGGCGGCCGCG